GAAATCTATTGTTTATGTACTCTAAGTCAATCCATATTCACTTGTCTGAATCTATGTCCGCTATATTATAATCTAATTAACATCTCCTTTAGATGCATATGAAATCTTATTACAAAAATTCGCATTTAGATCGAATTTCATATCAACAATCGACATTTCGCGCCGCAATTACGTTTTTTTGATATTACGTATACAAATTATAGAAATACATGTCCTTATTACTTTAGCAATTCATTTGGAAGCATGCCCACGGACTTAGTGCCCAAGGCTTATGGTGAAAATGTTAATTTTATAGCATTAGGTCATTGAAAATTTATTTTTATTACTATAACTTAGAGTTATCGCGATGCTGGTCTCTATAGATTTCTATCCGCATCCTGACATTTGACAAATTAAGCTCAATGACTAAGAAGAGGAATAAAATAATGTAAAGAAGAATGACTAGTGTTTTTGAACCAACCCAGATGCTTCATCCCGAAAAATGAACTACAAGTTTTCATCGTCGGAATATAATTGACACAACCTCTATCCTATCACACACATCTTGTTTTATTAAATAATTACATATTACAAAAGTTAATTGGTATTCATTGAATACGAAGAATTATTTGGGACGACTAATATGCACTTAGGTGTTTCATTAGACCCAAAATGGTCCGACCCATTCTCGGACCGCTTGCATAGCGGGAGCTTCGCGCACTGAAATGTAGTTTTATGGAAAATCTCAACATGACTTTCAAATTACTTTTATCGATTGATATTGATATACTAATAATAAATGCTAAGAATTAAAAAGTCTAAAAAGTCCGAAGTAGAAAATCATTTTATACATTGATTATTTGGTAAAACATGCAAGTGTTGGTTGCGTTGGATTAACTTTACGCGATCCCCCTTGCACCAATCGTGTTGCACAATATACCATTGAAAATAAAATTTCAAACACTTGATAATTGATTTGCATGAAATACCCGTGGTGCTTTTAGAATAACTAAGCATTTTCTCATTTTGTTGGGACTGTTACGGATTATCGCTACACCTTACTTGATCAAAATACTAATTTGAGGTTGGTTAAAAAAATAAAAAAAGTATAATGTGAATAAAAATAAAAATAAAATTCAGCTGGATTGTCTGTGAAAATTCAGGGAAATTTTTACGTACTTGGAACATTTAAGTGCTTAAATCCCTTATCCTTCAACCAAGTAACACATGCATGGAAGACGTAAATCGGGCAAATTTAGCGGTGGTCAACGTGCAGGATTGAGTCCTGAAACTTCTTCAATTTTCATAAAATCAGGCAACCATTCAAAGGAACTGCATCGATGAACAAATAATGCCTTTAGTGATCCCAATTTCTCCATACCTTGAGTCTCCATTTGCCTCGGGTAATTAATCACATCGAACAAGTTGAGCCCCTTTAATCTTGCTATCAATAGCCTCTCAAGCAATTCACTATCCCTCTCTTCCATGTCGAGTTTCTTCAGCTGCACTTCAAGCCCATTGTCACATTGGACCTCCCGCAGCCGACATTTACTAAGGTTCAAAATGGAGAGATTTGTGACCTTTCCGTCGGTGACTCGACATCATATAGATCTCATTTTTCAAGATGGGGACGAGAACCCCATCAGCGATTGCAAGTCATCACAAGTTATCTCAAGAATCCGAAGTCAAGAGAGAGAGTAGTCAAGTAAAAGCTACGATCTCAGGACCTATTGGATCTCTTATTAAAGTACAATGATAAGTTAAATATCAAATTTATAAATACAATTGAAATTATGTAGCCATTTTTCTTTTAAAAAAAGGATAATGACAGAAACGGTCTAGAAGTTTAGCTAATATGCAATGTCGTCCTTGAATTTTAAATTTGTTCAGTGTTGTCTTTGAATTTTAGTTCAATGTGTAATGTTGTTCCTGAATTTTTCATTTGTTAATGTGGCCCTGATTTTTTGATACATGTTCAATTTAATTCTTGGACTGTATGAAAATGTTCAATGTTATCTTTTCATTATTCACAAGGAATAACGGCGTCGTTAGCTTAGCAAGGTTCTTGGACTTATTTGATTATATACCCAATTGGGTAGAATGGATTCTCGTCTTTATTTTTTATTTTTAAGAATCCTTAAGAAAATTGAGGATGGGTTTTATCAAATATAAAATAAAAAAAATTAAATTGTGAATATATCATTTCCTAGAGAAAATCCAATACCGATACTGGGATGTCATCCATTATGTTTTTTTGGATGTGGATGAAATCCATATTCACTTGTCTGAATCTATGTCTCATATATTATAATCGGCAAAAGTACACCAGAAGTGCCATAACTTGTGTACGGCGATCACTTTGATGCCATAACTTTTTTTCGGATCACTTTGGTGCCAACTTTTTTTAAAAACGATTATTTTAATGCTAATGCTGACGTGGCTCGCCGGAAATCCGATGCGGCGCTGACACGGCTCGTCGGAGAGGTCCACGGCTCGCCGGAGAGGTCCAGTCAGCATTAAAAACAAAAAACGACGCCGTTTAGCCCGCTGACATGTACTTTTTTAAAAAAAAATTAATTATATTAAATAAATAAATAAAAAAGCCTGCAGCAGCGGCGAGGGCTCCCTCGCCGCTGCTGCAACCTTTTTATTTATTTATTTATTTTATTATTATTATTATTATTATTATTTTTCAAAAAATTAAAAAATTCGAAAAAAAGCCACATAATTTTCACGTGTACAAGTCAGACCATTTTTTTTTAATATAAATGCCAGGTCAGCTTTTTGGCCGGAATTTTGGCCAGAGTCACCAAAGTGATCTATTTTCCTCCGACTTGGCACCAAAGTGATCCGAAAAAAAGTTATGGCACCAAAGTGATCGCCGTACACAAGTTATGGCACTTCTAGTGTACTTTTGCCTATTATAATCTAATAAACTTCTCCTTTGGATGTGCATGAAATCTTATTAGAATAATTTGCATGTAGATTGACCGTCATATCAACGATCGACATTTCGCGCTTAGCAATTAAATCTAGTTTATTGCCGTGATTACGTTTCTGATGTTACATATGCAACAAATTATAGAAAGACACGTCCTCATTACTTTAGGAATTCATTTGGAAGAATGTCCACTAACTTAGCGCCCAAGGCTTATGGTCAAAATGTTAATTTTATAGCATTAGGTCATTGATTATTACTATAAAGTTAGAGTTACCGTGATGCTAGTCTATGAAGATTTCTATCCGCACCGTGGCAAAGCTTAATGACTAAGAAAAGGAATAAAATCATGTAAAGAAGAATGACTAGTGTTTTTGAACCAACCCAGATGCTTCATCCCAAAAATTGAATTCATAGTCAAATGAAAAGTAATTACCATGAAGAGAAAATTGTCCAAAAAGTTCTAAGCTTATTGTACTTTTGCCAAGTTAGTCCTAAACCTTTCAAGTTTACTAATTGAGTTCTAAACCTTTACACTTTTTACCAATTGAGTCCATCCGGCCAATTTTGACCGTAAATCGCTGACATGGATATTTTTAAATAATATTTTAATAATTTTTTGAACTTTTTATGATTTTTTTTTGGGTTTTAGAGTTAGTCGGCGAGGGTGGCCAGCCAACCCTTGTCGACTCTGGGCGAGGGCCGTAACGCCCTCGTCGGCAAAATCGAGGGCACGCGAGCCTTCCCTCGCCTAGATTCGGCGAGGGCCGCGATGCCCTCGCTAGATCTGGCTAGGCGAGGGGTGGGCGGCCCTCGCCGACCCCAGGCGAGGCGCTTGGTGGCCCCACATGTCTCGCCTATGGCCAGCGAGGGCCGTTAACCCTCGCCTAGCTAGATCTGGCGAGGGCGTCGCGGCCCTCGCCGGATTTGGGCGAGGGCTCGCGTGCCCTCGCCCAGAGCCGGCGTGGTTTGGCCGGTCCTCGCCCATAGCTGGCGAGGGTCGGCCGGCCGCCCTCGTCGGCTAACTCTAAAAAAAAAACAAAACAGAGAAAAGGAAAAAAAAATCATAAAATATTATTTTAAAATGTCCACGTCAACGCCATGTGGCTACCCGGCGTCCACGTCAGTAATTTCCGACCAAAATTGGCCGGATTGACTCAATTGGCAAGAAGTGTAAAAGTTTAGGACTCAATTGGCAAACTTAAAAGGTTTATGACTGAATTGACAAAAGTGCAATAGGTTTATGACTTTTTGGATAATTTTCTCATTCATTGAATACCAAGAATTATTTGGGATGACTTATATGTACTCAGGTGTTTGTTAGACCCAAAATGGTCCGACCCATTCTCGGACCGCTTGCATAGCAAGAGCTTCGAGCGCCGAACTGCAGTTTTATGGAAAATCTTTACACGACTTTCAAATTACTTCAACGACTGATATTGGTATACTGATAAAGTCATATATAAATTGCTAAATATTAAAAAGTCTAAAAAGCCCGAAGTAGAAAATCATTTTATACATCGATTATTTGGTAAAATATGTAAGTGTTGGTTGCGTTGGATTAACTTTACGCGATCCCACTTGCATCAATCGTGTTGCAAGAAGTACCGTTAAAAAGAAAATTTCACATCATTTGACATATAATTTTTTTTTCCAAGAAGTCATGACGACACTTGATAATCGATTTGCATGAAATTCCTGCGCTACTTTCAGAATAACTATGCACTTTCTCATTTTGTTGGGACTGTTACGGATTTTCGCTAGACCTTACTTGTTCAAATACTAATTTGAGGTTGGTTAAAAAAATAAAAAAAATGAAGTATAATTTGAAGCAAGTCTAAAGGATAAAAAAAATCAAAAGGTTAGGTTTATATTTTAGTGCAATTGTCTAAAAAAATTCAAGAAAGCTTTTACCTACTCAAGTTCTGTTTGTTTCGCAAAAAATGAATGATTTGAAAAATATTTTTATAAATATGATCGCTTACAAATATGAATGAACAAAAAATATTTTCACCATCTATAAAAATATGCAAAAATCAATTGTTATTAATCTCGATATTGAATAGCCCTCTCAAGCAATTCACTATCCCACGCTTCCAAACCATGAAGTTTCTTCGGCAGCACTTCAAGACCCATTATATATTGGACCTCCCTCAGTCGACATTTACAAAGGTACAAAATGGAGAGATTTGTCAAGATGAACAAGAGCGACCTCTCCACCGGTGACTAGGTCGTCATCCAATCTCCAATCTTATATGAACAAGAGCGACCTTTCGGCAAAACATGGATCTCTGGTTCCTCATCCTCGTCGCCCTCTCCGTCGCCGCCCTCGTCCGAGCCACCGTCAACCTCCTCTCTCCCGCCGCCGACAAGAAGAGCCTCCCGCCGGGCCCCCTCACCTTCCCGGTCGTCGGCAACTTGCTATGGCTCCGCAAGTCCTCCTCGGAGCTCGAGCCCGTCCTCCGCTCCCTCCACGCCCGCCACGGCCCCATGGTCACCCTCCACATCGGCTCCCACCCCGCCGTCTTCGTCTCCTCCCGGGCACTCGCCCACCAGGCCCTCGTCCACCGCGGCGCCGTCTTCGCCGACCGCCCGCCGCCCCTGCCCATCCGCCGCATCCTCACCTCCAACCAGCACATCATCAGCTCCGCCTCCTATGGCCCCACCTGGCGCCTACTCCGCCGGAACCTCACGGCGGAGATCCTCCATCCCTCACGCGTCCGGTCCTACTCCGGCGCCCGCGCGTGGGTCCTCGACATCCTCGTGGCGGAGCTCAAGTCCCAGCCTGGTGGCGTCGTCCGCGTTGTCGACCACTTCCAGTACGCCATGTTCTGCTTGCTGGTCCTCATGTGCTTCGGAGACAGGCTCGAGGAGCAGCAGATTAAGCAGATCGAGGGGGTTCAGCGACGGTTGATTCTGGGTGCGCGGCGGTTCAACGTGCTCAATTTCTGGCCGCGGCTGACCAAGCTCGTGCTCCGGAAGCGGTGGAAGGAGTTCTACGAGCTCCACGAGAATCGGAAGCGCGTCCTCGTCCCGCTCATCAGAGCTCGATCCAAGCCCAAGCGAGAGCAGCTGAGCAAAGCCAAGGAGGACGGGAATGACGGCGACGGCGATTGGATCTTATCGTACGTGGACACGCTCCTGGACCTGGAGCTGCCGGAGGAGAAGAGGAAGCTGGAGGAGGACGAGATAGTGAGCCTCTGCAATGAGTTCCTCAACGCCGGTACCGACACGACGTCCACGGCGCTGCAGTGGATCATGGCCAACTTGGTCAAGTACCCAGAAATCCAACAGAGGCTCTACGATGATATCAAATCAGTCGTGGGACACGGGGTGGAGCGAGTGAAGGAGGAGGACCTGCAGAGGATGGGTTACCTGAAGGCGGTGGTGCTGGAGGGGCTGCGCCGCCACCCGCCGGCGCACTTCGTGGTGCCGCACGCTGTGACGGAGGACACGGGGCTGGGCGGGTACGTGATCCCCAAGGACGGGAGCATCAACTTCATGGTGGCGGAGATGGGTTGGGACCCGGAAGTCTGGGAGGACCCGATGGCGTTCAAGCCCGAGAGGTTCTTGAACTGCGAAGAAGAAGCCGGGGGGTTCGACATCACGGGGAGCAGGGAGATCAAGATGATGCCGTTTGGGGTGGGGAGGAGGATCTGTCCCGGATACGGGCTTGCGATGCTGCACTTGGAGTACTTCGTGGCGAACTTGGTGTGGCTGTTCCAGTGGAGGTCGGTGGCGGGCGAAGAGGTGGACCTGTCGGAAAAGCAGGAGTTCACCATAGTGATGAAGAACCCTTTGAGGGCTCAGATTTGTCCCAGGAATTCTGGCACCTGAAATTTGGGAACATGTATCTATGTACACTGTTGCCTTCTCAATAAAATTTCCATTAATGAACACTCTTCTTCTGCTCTTTGCGGTGTATGTAATTAGACTTAGGCAGGTGAAACCTATGCTTCTTTCCTTGGGAACCGCCGAGGTGTTTGCGAAAATTCCTGAAAGTTAAAACTCGCACGTGAACTGCACCCACCCACTGCGATTCCGATGTCATGCCATTGTCAAACACTATCCACCGTTTCAAGTAAACCGCGGTAGTAATATCTCTTTATCCCTAATTATAAGCACTGGTCCTCCCATATCCAGTGTTAAAAAACGGGGAGGAAGAAAAAGAAATAACATTTATAGTCTGTCTGTTTCACGAAAAATTTGATATTTCTAAAAATATTTTTTAGAAAGTCAATGACACTATTTTTTAGTATTTGACTAAAATTTGAAAATAAAATGGAAAATTTTCAGTCACGTGGTATGGAAATGATTTGATTTTCCTAAATAAATATACACTATTTGGACGCCAACAACTTGCGCATGGGTAATCGGGGAATTGGGTACGGGCACTAGAGTTTCGGGTCCGGCGTCAATGAGCCCCGACCTGGGCACTGGGATCGGGGCATGGGCACCTAGGTCCCGGGCCCGACCTCGATGCACCCGGAAATGGCCTTTGTGGACTCAGGCATGGGTGTTGGGGATCCGAGCTTGGGTACTGGGATCCCACGCTTGACCTTTGTGGACCTAGGCTGGTTGTTGTAGCATCGAGCACGAGCACCGGGGCCTTGGGTCCGGCCTCAATGGACCCGAGCACGGGCATCGGGGACACGGGCTCGGCCTTGATGGACTCAAGCGAGGGTGTAAGGGATCGGGGCATGTGCATCAGGGTCACAAGCCTCGATGGACTTGAGCCCAAGTACTAGAGACCTGGTTCTGGACACTAGGGACCCGAGAACCAGCATTGTAGGTTCTGTGCCTGAGCGTAGAGTTTTAGGCCTATATGCTGATATATAGTCGTATATTTGGAAAATAATTTCTGATTTTTTAAAGAAAAAATTATTTTTCTGAATTTAAGTATAAATTAAAAATTATTTTTTCGTTGACTCATTTTCTTAAGAAATTAAATGCTGAAAAATGAACAAACTGTTCGAACGGAGTCTTGACTCGACATTAGTAACTATAGTGCCATAAGCCGGCAAATTTGTCCTTTCCCACGTGAATCGGTCGTTTCGGGCCGAGCAATTGAACGTAGTTCATTACTTCAATTCTCGTTTTTCGATGTTACCAATTCGAATCATAGAAGCGTACGATCCTTGTTACTTGTGCAATTCTTGTGGAAGCATGCGTCGGAGAATTCATTCACCAACGTAGCGTCCAAGGGCTCCTGGAGAAAAATGCTGATCTTATTGCATGATCAGTTGATTCATTGTTGTTTTTTTGGGGAAAGTACCATAAAAAATTTCAAATTATGTCATTTATGATAAATTTACCCCGAATTTTTTTTTTTTTGATAACCGAGGTATCCCACTTGCAATGGACTATTCCTCGGGGTAGTGGGGTACAAGATCAATGCCACCGGGTAAGTCTCCAAGATGTGATCGGCGGGAGTTGAACCTGGGACCTCATCAGTTTTACTGTCTGAGGCCAGGAACTCTTAACCACTTGACCAATCACCCCATTGGTACCCCGAACTTTTTTTTGTAACACAAAAAATCCCAAACTATGTCACTTGTGATAAATTTATCCTGAACTTTTTTTTGTGACACGAAAAACCCCAAACTATGCCACTTGTGACACATTTACCTCATAATACTTTGGTTTATGGGCATTTTCGTCTTTTTCCTTTGTTTTTTCCTTTCTTCTCTCTTCCCTCCGCCGACCATGGCGGAGGGAAGCCGGTGAAGGCGGTCCTCGCCAGCATTGGGTTGGGCGAGGGCTGCCCTCACCCGCCGAGACAAGGGCGAACCTCGCCGACGAGGGTCGCCCAACGCCGGCTAGGGTCGCCCTCACCCGATCCGGCGAAGGCAGCCCTTGCCCAACCCCAGCGCCGGCGAGGGCCACCCTCGCCAGCTTCCCTCCGCCATGGCTGACAGAGGGAAGAGAGAAGAAAAGAAAAAAAAAAGGAAAAAAAACAGAAAAAGGAAAAAGACGAAAATGCTTATGGACAAAAGTATTGTAGGGTAAATATATCACAAATGACATAGTTTGGGGGTTTTTCGTGTCACAAAAAAAAGTTCAGGGTAAATTCGTCACAAGCGACATAATTTGGGATTTTTCGTGTCACAAAAAAAATTCAAGATAAATTTATCACAAATATTATAGTTTAAGATTTTTGGTGTTATTATTTTTTTTTTAATACTAGTTGGAGACTTTGAGTCATCGCGACGATAATAGTCCACACCAATTTCTACGCGGCTGCTGACACGTGAGACGTGACATGCCTTAATGACTAGGAATAGGATCAGAAAGAATATAGAGAAAATATGCAGCTCCGATGACATTTGGTATAATGATATGTTTCGAATTTCAAAATCGGTGCCCGTGATTCGTTGGTGCATCTCGTTTTCTTCAATAATTATTTGTTATGGATAAAATTCAATGTCCTGCAAAAAAAGTAAATATTGTTCGTTTTGCTTAAGCTTAAAATCTTAAATTCAAAAAAATAATATTACCTGCTTAGAACATTTTAAGTGTTTGTAAGTGTTTGTGAAGATAGGTGAAATTCGGCGTACTTCAACTGTTGAATGGTAGGTATCTAGATGACGTAGATAGGGTGAATTTTTGTGGTGAATAATGTGCGAGATTCAATCTACGTCGCTTCTTTGATTCAAATAAATTAGGCAATCTTTTTGAGGAATCGCATATATAAATTAATAATGCCTTTAGCGATTCCAATTTCTCCATATCTTGTCAAGTCTCCATTAGTCCCGTGTCCCGGTCAATTAAACACGCTCAACCCGCGAAGCTCCTTCGATCTTGATAAGGATGGTGTTTCGCTTCGGGGTCACTTGCGAGAGCAGAGGGGAGTTTATCTCGAGGAACGAGGCGTCCCCAGATCTCGCGTCTTCTTCGTAGAGCTGAGGCTCCATGGATTCTTGCAACAGCGATCTCTCTGGACTTCCTGGACGAGTGACGTGAAGCAACTTTGCTTGCTCAGACTTCATGAGAACTAGAAGAAGAAGAAGAAGAGCAAGAAGAAGAAGGAAAGAGCGCGTGGACAGGGGAGGAAAGGAAGAGGCAACTTCCTAATGGGGTCCTTCATCCACGTGGCGTAACCGATTAATCATACGCTGCTAGTCGAGTGATACGTATACGGACCAACTTTGCCTTTTTGATCGATTTGCTTCCCGACATATTACTACCATTTGGCGTTACCGTCGCAAACGACTTCATTTTTATGGGATCTTTATAGTCTGATGCATATTACTACCGAGCTCTTTATAAGCGACTCCTTTCGTCGTGTATAAACTTGGAATGCTATAAATAACGAATATTTGTTTTAGAATAATTAGTTATAACACTTTGTGCCGAACCCTAAAGAATTGGACTCGTTTGGGACAACTTATCATATAGGGGCATCGCGCCCGCTAGACACCATAGACACGCCGTTTCTCCATGCTTTTTTATGGTAATGCGGCAATAAGAATCAATCAAAGTATGTAAAATACCTCTAAAAATGTGCAGTTTGGGTCATCTTATTTCTTGGTATTTCGTTGACGAAGTTAAGTCTATTCTTTATTGTCACAATTAAAAGGAAAATAATAGAAACATAAATCCTCTCCTCGAGCTTTATCATTTATCTCTATTTTTCTCACAATCTTTGCTCTTTTTTTTAATTTTAATTTCTGGGTTTTGTCTGCAATTTCCCATTACAATCACGTCATCCATCAATACGGTCCATGGGGGTAATGTGATTCAAGCACTTTTGAATCTTCATTTTTAGTACAGAAGGTCTTTTAATATCGGAATCATTCGATAAATAATATTCACATATTTTTAGTTAGTAAACTGGCGAAGTCGATGGTCAAACAGTGGGCGTGATTTTGGAATTTTATGTCCGAAAGTGACATTGTCTGCTGCTGTCCAAACTATGAAGTTTCTTCGGCTGCTGTCGAATGCGACCTCCCTCAGCCGGCATCCGGCATTGATGAATGCACAAAATGGGCAGACTTGTCAAGTTGAAAAAAAGTGATCTTTCTAGACATGGTACAAAGCCAATTTTTCAAGACTAGACGGCAGACCCATCAAAGATTGGAAGTCAATACAAGTTATCTTAATAATCCGAGGACGAGAAAGAGCGGCCAAGTAAAAGTTATCATAATAAATTCAGAGATACCTATTTGATTTATTATTAAAGTACAATAAAAAGTAAAAATAGTAACATATCTAATTTATAATTTAAAGTAAAACTAATTTGATCAAGTAAAATAAATTGTAGCTTATAATTGTGTTCTTAATTGGAAAAGTACCATCGAAATAAAAGTAAAATTATTAAAATGACATGTCTTATTCTATTAAAATGGAAAAATAATGAAAAACAAAAGCTAAAGATACATCATATGACTAAAAGGTTATATATATAGTTCAAATATAACTTCTTTAATTAAGTGAAGAAATTGCACTTAATAAAGACAATCACTTAATCTTAGTAAATAATAAATCAAATAGTAAGAAAGCATAGCTTATTGTTTGTATGTAGTATATGGTTTGTCTTTTTAATTACGGTTAATCTAAAATAGAATCGAAATTATGTAACTTTCTTTTTAGAAATATTAAATTAACATATGATATTAACATGTAAGGAAATCCTTTCACTTTAAAAGATTATAACATTATTAAATAATTAAAAAAATGAAAAAAAAATGGCAGAAACGGAAAGAGTGAGTTAAGACTTCTTCGATCATGATATAATATTGAAAAAAAAAAATGTGATTTTTTTTTAAAATTTGAAGATATCATTTTCTTAGAGAAATCCGCTACTAATAGTAATAGTAGGACAGCATCCATTATGTTTTTCTTTTGTGTAAAGTTGTCATCTAAACTCCATATGCTTATATGAAACGAACAAATCACTCATGAACTTGAAGT